GCCTCTGATTTTGTTCCTTGGTAGGGGTACAGAGACTATAAGGAACATATTTTTTCCAGAGAAATGAAAATTCAAAACCATGGGGTTTTTTTTTTATTTTTCAGCCTGGAGATGTAACCTACCCTTTAAATGCAGCTGGAAAATTTGTGTATCATAAGACAGATTTATGTGCCACTTGGGAGGTAAGCTGCCAAAGACTTCCTACACACCTCATGCACAGCTATTAAGGGAGTGTCTCCACCGTCTGGGTTGAGACGCATTGACAAGGCAGCTGACCAGACTCCACTGACTCCATGGATAAGTAGGATTTCTGCTAGCATTGTTGTTCAGTCTGTGTCACGCTCATTAAAAAACTGTTGCTTTAGAATCCAGCTTTTTATTTTTCCCCATACAGATAATGCACTCTCTTGGTTTGTTGGCATTTGTGTAACTTTTAGTCAACCTACTGCAAACTGAGATCACTGCTTCCATTACACTTGTGAAGCTGCACTTGCTCTTGCTTTCAAAGAGCAGAAAGTGAGCCCTGGAGTAAGAAGTGACTAAATCCTCCTTGGAAACAGATTGTTATCATTTCATGTTAGGACCGAATCTTCCCTAATGTTGACTCTTTCACCACCACCACAACCACCACTCCTTCCCCAGTAACAACAGATGCTGCTGCTTCTAAGTTACTGGTAGTTACCACATAGAAAGTGCAGCATCAGCATCTGATGAAACTTCATTATTTCAACATGGTTTTGACAAGGAATAGTAATGCAGTGTGGCTCTGTTTTCTGACATCAGCACTGAATGACACAAAGCATGTGACAAGGCCAACCAGAAGTCCTATAACAAATGGAACTTCTCTCTCTCCTACTTTTTCTCCGCTTATTAAAAACATAAAGAATTAAGAACACTGGCAAGCAGTACACTTGGTATTTCTATTCAGATGTAGAAAATGACCAGGATAAGGTCTGCTGTACTTCACCTTGGTCACACCATTTAACAGCCTCTACATCATTCACTGGTGGAAATTTTTGGGAACAGAGAAGGAAACTAAGAAAAGGCACTCATGTAATTCTAATGATGCAGAACCTGGGCTAACAGAGAGGACCAAAGCATCTACAAAGAAGCAGTTGTATATTTACAAGGTCCCTAAGTCTAGGTGGTTACATCTATTGTCATCACCTGTAGAATCTTGAAAAAGTAGGGCTGGAAGGGACCTCAGGGCATCATCTAGTACAACCGCCTGCAGGTTGTTTAGTCAAGAAAGGACCATTCTTGACTAAATCCCAATTAAGGCTCTTTCTAACCTGCTCTTAAAAACTTACTAAGGTGGAGAGTCCACAAGTTCTCTGGCTAACATGTTCCAACATCTAACTACCCTCATAGTGAGAAAGTGCTTCCTAATAGCCAACCTAAATTTCCCATGTTGCAATCTGACACCACTGCTTTTTGTTCTGTCCCCTTTGGCCACAGAGAATAGTCTATCGCCATCCTCTTCATAACCACCCTTCAGGTATTTGAAGACTGTTATCAGCTCCTCCCTCCTTTTTTCTTAGTGACACTCCTACTAACACAGCCCGCTATTGTTCTTGGTCCTTTTTGCTACCAGAGCACACTGTTGGCTCATATTCGTATAGTCCACTATAACCCCCAGGTCATATTCAGGAACCTAGAATAATGCTATTAGGACTCCTTCTAATGGTCTCATTTTTCTTTGTAGGCTATGGAAGCATGTAAAGATGCAGGCTTAGCAAAGTCTATTGGAGTATCAAATTTCAACCGCAGGCAGCTGGAGATGATCCTGAACAAGCCTGGCCTCAAACACAAACCAGTCAGCAACCAGGTATGGCCCCAAATGGAGCCCTTGATCCATCTGAAAAATGTATAATAGTGAGAGTGCTGAGGCAATGCATATACTTCAACATATAGGGGATTGTGTGCACATCCATGTGACTCTGCAGTTAATATACCACTCATCATACCACCAGGCTTTCCTTCCTATCCTGAAAGTATGCTACTTTTACTTTCTGTACTAAAACCAGAATCTGTCCCAGATTCTAAAACAGGGTGGAGTGTTGTGTGAAAGCTGGGCCAATAAAAGCCTTGTCCATAAATCTTAGCCATATACCTCAGGTTCCTGCCTTGATTCCGGAAGGCTCCCAGCACCGAAGACAGATGTACCACTACCCAGAAACTAATAAGTCTTAAATGGAGCTAGAGATTTACCTTGTTTAAAAGCAATTCAAAGCACAAATACAAGCATAGGGGATACTGTGCCATCATGAGCTCTTTGTCTGGTCAAAGGATCTATCTAATGCTAAAAAGCCAAAACATTTCTATGCCCTTCCCATGCTCCCTGTATTCCGTGGGAGTAGAATAACTGATCTTACTACTGAAGTCAGTGGACAGGTCTGAGCAAAACTGACTCTATGGCCTACAGATGGAAACAAATGGCTAATCACTGATGAATGTAAAACATTGCCATCTAGTGCGGAGAGGAAAACTTTGAATTGAGTGAGTTGGGGTGGAAGTTTTCAGTCCATCTCCCCAAAGAGATACCCAATGGCTGCTCTCTCACACAGCATAGTTATCCCTGCTAGTAGCATCAGAGGAGAGTTCGGCAAAGACTGAATGAGAAGGGGATAGCTAACCCTTTTAGCTCTTGGGGAGGGGCCCAGATATGCACACTTAGTTTGGAGTGAAACTGGTAGTACAACATAGGTGAATTTTATTATTGTCCTTGTACCTGTTCTTTACCTGCATTGTAGTTTTATTCCTGATTAGGTTTGTCATCCTAAACACCTTTCACAAGCACTAGAATTCAAGTTAAAACATCAAATGCTACCTTTTTCTGTCTGGAATGCCTATTACCTTACCTGTTAAGTCTACATCAGTGCTGCATTCTCCCTCAGACCAAAAAAAAAAAAAAAAAGTTAAAAGCACAAACCCTTATGCAATGTCTGTTTTAACTTCAGGATGTTATTATCACCATATTAAAACGGCAGCTGCTCTATTACAGTCTGTGGGAATGACTCCCAGAGGCTGAGAATGTAGCCAGAAAAATTCTGTGGGAGAGTGATACACAATAGTAACAACATGGGAGGGTATAGTCTGGGTAGATTATGATGATGATTGTGGCATGGTGTGGTGTGGGTTTTTTCCCCCACTCTTCCTTCCTTTCTGTTGCTGACATAAGCTATTACCCTTTTCCCCAGTGGCAGTCTAAGCTCTTTAAAATCTTGGATATAAAGCGGAGAGAGAGAAGTCCTTCGTTGTCAGAAGGACTGGCCTGCCTTTTGGCACAGCAAATTGTTAGGCAGATTATACAGGAAAGGTAAGCTAGGTCAGCAGTTGCCCTCATTCTCTCAGTCTCTTTCAGATTCCAATTGCCTTGTCTCCTCCGGGGCTTACAAAATTATTGAGTGATCTGAATTATTTATGAGAAAAGACATTGCCCATCCTCTAAATAGCGCAACTTTTTTTTTTTTTTTTTTTTTTAACCTGGATCTGTTCAGGATCTCCTGCCACTTTCTGCCTGAAGAAAACCACAGTAGGATTTCCCCAACCAGCTGGCCCTGGATTTGAACCTTTGACCTAGGATTGATAATTGCCACATTCCTAATGCAGATTTTCCCCTTCTTTTCTGTCTCTAATTCATTTCTGGGACTATGGTTTGCAAATATATAAAATAATCTCTCTTACCTGCCAGTTTTTGAAACTGTCTTTCTATTTGTTGCTTGGTCCTTCTGTTTCACTCACATAGGTTGAATGCCATCCTTATTTCTCCCAGCCCAAACTGTTAGAATTTTGCAGACAACATGAAATTGTTATTGTCGGATATAGTCCACTGGGAACCTCAAGAGATGAAACATGGTAAGCCAGAACTTCCTTCTCTTGGAAATACTAGTGTTGCTTGTAGCAGCACTCATCCTATAAGAAGGTTGCAAATATCCACACAGATCTAGCAAAGGGTAATGTGGCTAAATGATTACAGTGGTGACTCCCATCTTTCCACCCCTCTAGACGTATTTGGAGCAGGCCTTCTCTCCTGGTAGTATTCGGGCTGAGGAGCCAAAGTTCCCATTTTGGAATATGGGTAAATTAACAACACCATTGCTTTCACTAAGTTCTTGCCTCTCGGCTTGAGCTTGGGAATTCAAGCTCTGATTCCCAAATTCATAGAATCGTAGAAGTAAGTTTTGGAAGGTCATCTAATCCAACCTCTTGCTCAAAGCAGAACCATCACCAACTAGATCATCCCAGCCAAGTAGTCTCCCTTCTCAATCTATCTGTGTGCTACCTCTGAAGCAAAATGGTCCCTTCACCTCACTATGCCACTAAGGAATGCCTGGGAGTCCTACAAGGAACCACCTTAGCCAGAAAAGCCCACGATTGTAACACAGAGCATTTGAGATTGAAATGAGGTGGTGCAGGGTAGCCAAAATGACTTCCAAAAGGCCTTTGATCTAGTATCCCACAATGTCCTCACAAGACAATTGGAGGATTGTGGGCTTAACCCCAAGACAGTCAGGTGAGTGAGAAACAGGCTTCAGGATAGGACCCAGAGAGTTGTAGTGAATGGATCCATGTTATCCTGGCAAGAAGTGGGCAGCAGTGTCCCAAAGGGGTCGGTGCTCGGTCAAGTACTTTTTAACATCTTTATTAACTATTTGGAAGTGGAAGTGAAGAGCTCACTGGCCAAGTTTGTGGACAACACCAAGTTATGGGGAAGCGTGGTCACTCTTGAAGATGGGTTACAGATACAGGTGGACCTAGACAGGCTGGCAAGTTGGGTGGATCAGAATCTGATGAAGTTCAACATTGAAAAGTGTAAAGTGCTCCACCTCGGGATGAGCAACCCCCAACACACCTATAGGCTTGGTGGCACCAAACTAACTAGCACCACAAATAAAAAGGACCTGGGGGTAATAATAAACACAGTATGAATAGAGCCGGCAGTATGATACCGTAGCCAGTAGGGCAAATAATACTCTGGCATGCATCAATCAATGCATCTCCAGCAAAACCAAGAAGGTGATTCTTCCGCTCTACTCAGCACTGGTGAGACCACAGCTGGAGTACTGTTTCCAGTTCTGGGCACCACACTTTAGCAAGGATATGGACAAGCTTGAGAGAGTCCAAAAAAAAGCCACCCATATGATCAGTCTTACACGGCAAGTTATACGAGGAAAGGCTGAGGGATCTGGGACTCTTCAGCCTGAAGAAAAGAAGGCTGAGAGGGGATCTGGTAGCACATGACCGCTACACTAGGGGAGTACATCAAGGGTTCGGTGAGGAACTGTTCTCCAGGGCACCCTTGTGGAAAACTAGGAGTAATGGCTCAACATTAAGAAAAACTTCTTCACAGTCAGGGTGTCCAGACTGTGGAATAAGCTCCCTCCAAATGTGGTGCAATCACCTACCCTGGAAATCTGTAAGAGGAGACCGGACAGTCAGCTTGCTAAGGTCACCTGACTCCAGGTGTCTTTCCTGCTTGGTTCAGGGGGCTGGACCTGATGATCTTGCAAGGTCCCTTCTGGCCTTACAATCTATGAATCAAACAGTAGCAGCCCCTGTACACATGTGCGGAGCCTGCTCTGACATGCTGGAAATCCTGTGTATCAGAGCAGACTCAATTAATCAAGTATGCTGCAGCACAAAAATTGATGTGCTCTGGCAGCCTTCCAAGTCACATATCAGTATTGCCGTGTCTCTGCACTGAAAAAATCATGGCAGGGTGCTTTGAAATAAAACACATTCAAATGAGGTTTAGTTCAAAGCATGGGGACGCATGGTGATGCTGATGCACATGACACATGAGCGCTTTTAATTAGTCCAGCTCACTAATTAAAGCACCTGGTGCCACATCCCACAACACACATAAAAATGTCCTAGGAGACCAAGTACTACAAAAATACCTGACAAATGGAACTTATAAATGTTGGGAGGAATTTTTCTTCTAGCCTTTATCTTGCTGTCCATCTCTTCTTCTTTCCCTACACAATTATCCTTACAGCAACTATTCAGTGTCTGACTTGGAAACAGATAGCAATTACAAGGAAGCAGAGGTACAGTGTCAACCCTGTTAAGCAACAGAAGTCTCATAATTATTTGAAAATAAAATAGGAGAGCTGGCAAGTCCTCTAGTTACACTGTTGCTCAACCCGTGGGTTACAACCCAGAAGTAGGTCACAAGAACATTTGAAAGGGTCACGAGTGAGTCCTAGAAAAGCACGGGTTTCGCCTTGCAGGCTGGCAGCATTCCAGCCTGCAAGAAGCTGCTTGAGGCAGTTGGAAGCAGTGGGCACATGTGCGTCTGCGTGCACACACGCACGTGGCCAGCATGCAGTGTCATGGGAACAACCCCAGCAGCTGGATGCAGGTAAGTGTATGGGGAGGGGAGTGGGGATTGGAGGCAGGTCCAGGGCTTGGGGAGTGTGCGTGTTGGGGGAAGGAGTGTCTGCCGGCACTGGGGGAACATGACTGGGCACCAGGGCTGCATCAGGGCAGGGGTGGATGGGGGGAAGACACCTGCCCCTCCAGCAGAGGTGGGGGAGTTGTCTTTCAGGGGTGCTGGGGATCTGTGTGCCAGGGCAGTGCCCATCCTTGCAGGGGTGGGGCAGCCAGAAGACTGCTCAGGGGGCAGGTGGGGCTATGACCAGGCTGCCTGGCACAGCATGGGAGTCCCAGCCAAGGCAGGTGGGGGTGTCACAGTCCTCCCCTCCTCTTCCTTCTCCCTCCAGCTCACGTTGGGGCCAGACTTGCTCCACTGTCACCCGTATGAGCCAGAGCCATTGCAGCCACCATGCTCCAGCCCAAGTGGGATGGGAGCAGCTGGGCCCCCTCTGGCAGGGCTAAGGGGAGGGGGCAGAGGGCTGCAGGCTGGGAGTGAGGAGCTCCAGCATGGCCTGGGGGGCAGGGGGCTATGGGTCAAAAATAAGGGGCAGGGCCAAGGGGACTGTGGCTTGGGAGTGAGGAGCACCTAAATAAAGAAGTCCCCTGTTTTGTTTCATTTTTTATTCAAGGGTAAACGTGTCTTCTCCTCCTTTACTGAAGGACCCTGTGCTAAATGCCATTGGGAAAAAATACAACAAAACAGCAGCACAAGTTGCTTTGCGCTTCTCCATCCAGCGAGGAGTGGTGGTCATTCCCAAAAGCTTCCATCCAGAGAGGATCAAAGAGAATTTCCAGGTAAACATTTAAAGATACAGGGACAAAAGAATTCTCTCTGTGCCACGCTAAGTCCTACCAGGCCTGTAAACCTTGGGTACGTCAAAACACTTCCTACCAGCAAGTGAAAGAGCAATAGAGCTGAACACTAATAAGGACAGGACACAAGGGTCTCCATGACAGGTCAAAAGAAGGTTGACCATTATATTTAGTCAGGTATAATATGACCCTCCCAATAATTAGATTATATATATGGAAACTTTATACATTTGTTATAATTTTCCAGGTATAGAATCTAATTAGGGGGGGGTTGCCTTGAATTTGTCCCCCACCCACTGCTACAGCAGCGAAAATAAATCAGGGGAGGGTGGGAGGTCAGGCAACCCTCTTGCCCTCTGCCACCACAACTTCTTCCCCCTGCAGCCCCTTCCCCTCCATCTTTATTGTCAGACCCCACTTCCCTGGGCAAATTATGACAGATACCCATAGATGTAGTTTATTCAGAATTGATGCATTTTACCTTTTTTGAAACTGCTGCATGTTTTACCACAGGTACTCCATAAATACATTTTAAGCAGGACTTTTGTATCTACTTATGTATGGTACAGACTATGCATGATACTAGTCCAAAGGCAAAAGACTCATGATTTAACATATAGGTCATTGGACTGGGCCCCACCAGGGTCAACAGCATGTCAAACCATGGTGATCCCATAGCTCAGTACTGCTCAATATGTGCATGTGCTCCATATACCCCACACAAAGGATCCAGGTGCTAATTACCTCCCACATACACACGACTGGAACTGGGTGTCATGAGTCCTGGGATTCTCCAAAAATGTCTATGCAAATGATGTACAGGGCAACCTGATCCACCTTCACCTCATACAGAGCAGTACTGGCACTGGATTTGTCACCCAGCTACCTAGTTCCGGGAAGACCCAAACCCCCAGGCCGACCACAATTTCTCCTTTTGATAATAGGCAATTTTTCTGATACACAGGCAAGGCAAACAATTCTATATCTACCAGTGATAGTGCTGTCACAGAGGGAAGGCAGATCTGGCCAGTATGAGAACTTCACCCTATGGTTTTTTCTTGAATATTGGATGTGAGCAGTCTGGAGGTTGAGGGCTGAGGCCCACCTTGAAGCATGTTGTCTAGAGCAAGGATCATCAACATTGGAGTGGGGGGCCACTGTAACAGGGCTTAGCTCCAAGCACGGGCTGCTTCCAACTGAGTTCTCACTGCAGCTACTATCACCACTCCCACTGTGCCACCACTGCCACTGGCTCTGTGGACCAGATAAAATGGCTCTGTGGGATAGACCGAGCCCACAAACCATAAGTTATTGACAATTGGTTTAGAGGAGCTGGCAGGACTGCCATGTTGTCCTTATGAGATACTGAGCTTGCCCAGCACTCTAGGAATCTGAGAAGTCCTCCCCAAAATTCAAGGGTGTCTTATAGCAGTGCAAGTGAGAGCAGATTCTTACATTATCTCTATGTTTCTGAACCTTGAAATATTTTAATTTTGGGTTTCTCATTAAAAGAATGATTTCATCCTAATCTCCTCTTCACTAGATCTTTGACTTCTCCCTGACTGATGAAGACATGAAGGATATTTTATCTGTGAACAAAAATGTCCGCTATGTGGAGTTGCTAATGTAAGTCCAAGTACAATTTGCACTTGATGTGCATAACTGAAAATTATTCACTTTTTACATAAGCCCTGACACACCAACATTTCAACACACACATCACTACCTTTTTAGATTTTCTGTCAAGATGCCGAATGTACATGTGAATGTCAAAACACTATATAGTGTAGTAGGCAACCACTGATTCTTCTGGATCATGGTGGGCATGTGAGAGGTCACCAGAATCTTTAATACATATGCCTAGGCAGGAGTATGGAGGAGTGGAGGCTGCCCAGACCTTCCATCCCTCTTTTACATTGTCAAGATAGAATCCAAAGGCCAGACCAAGTCTGGATGCTCAGTGCCTGTGGTTAGAAGTGCATCTGGTGGGAATCCAACCCAGGTCTCCTGTGTGGCAGACAAGGATTCTACCACTGAACCACAACAGCTGGTTTATATAGCTCAGAACACCCTTACACTACAGTCCTGGAACACCCATAGATTGTCTGCAAGATTTAAATTTGCAATATTTCTGTGTGTTTCAGAGTTTGGGTATGCACATAGCACACATATGCTTGTATCTCGTTTTTTGACCCAGGCCCATCTGTTCTTCAAAACAGCCTCCTCTTATATCATGACATGGTTTTCATAGATTTCATAGACATTTGGACTGGAAGGGACCCTGGAGGATCATCGAGTCCAACCCCCCACCCCAGGGGCAGGAAGTCAGCAGGGATCATAGGATCCCAGCAAGATAAGCATCCAAATGCATCTTCAAGGCATTCAAAGTGGGCACTTGAACCGCCTCAGGTGGCAGTCTGTTCCAAACCTTGGGGGCTCGGACAGTGAAGAAGTTCTTTCTTATGTCCAGCCAGTGGAGTTTGTTACCATTCAATCTTGTCATCCTTTGGGGGGGCTGTGGGTCGGGAGTGAGAAGCTCCGGCAG